ATGAGGACCCAAATTGTTGGGGTAAATGTGCTGACTCTGTAAACCGCTTAGAGGGCTGTTAACACTGTAAAGCAGTATATAAGTCTAAGTGCTATTGCTAATACACACACACACACAGACACACCAACCCACACGAATTTAGCTAGAATACAGTTGGTCAAACAACAACTTGTGAGTAACAAAGGGGAAAAGGAAATGAGGATCTGTAGGATGCCTGAACAGGAATAATAAAAACATACAAACAAAAAGGGGTAAAAACCAGACAAAAGTACAAAGAACAGTAGACAAACTATAGTACACAGGAAACTGATCTCAACTTCTGGCATATTTCCCTCAAAAATTACTCACTCTGATCTGTATAACAACACATAAACTCACTGACTCATTCACAGATGGAAGCCTCAAAATCATTGAGGCTTTTCTAAGATAAACAGAAATTTGGCACAAACAAAAGAATCATCTTTCAAAATATTAGGAAAAAATTGGAACATGTTTTATCATAATATCTCAGAATGTGAGAGATTCACTTCCAAAGAAAGATGAGCAAATATAAAAATGTGTTAATATTTTATTTCAACATTATTTTCATTGAATTTTATTATCCATACCTGTGTTCTTCTATAAAATTCTGACTGTCAGAGTTCTTACATTCTTCTTCTTTAAAAAATTGACCACTGCTGGATGGATTTGCAAATGTTGATATAAAAGGCCCCAGGGATTGAAAGGCAGCTTGGCGAACCTGGAAGAACATATTCCATAGAAAACTATAGTTATTTTATTAGCATGATTAGGGAGGGTATAACGCTCGCAAAAGTATGTAGCAGGGCATTTTTGCATCTGGGAATGTTCAGGTCCAAAAATCAGATATGGCAATATGTTACTTGAACTATCTATAAAAGTCTTTGATTACATTTATTTGGATAAGGTTTCTTATGGATCAAATTTTATTTCATGAAGGATAATAACAGTTTTTAAACTTTATGGTGATTACTACTAAAATCATTAAAAGTGTTACCTAGAAATCTAGTTATTTTAGAGTTTTAAATGTTTTTACTGTAGAATGAAAGCATGGATGGTATCAGTATTAGGCAGGGATGTTGTGGGTGAGAGAAAAACCGGCAGGAGCAACTTACTGAAATGATTTGCAACTTTCCCTGCCAGCTTCTCCACTGACTTTGCTTGTGGGAAGCTGGGAGGAAAACTTGCAAAAGATTGAAAATGGCAATTATGTGATCATGGTGGTACTACATGGTGATGGTGCAGTTCCAATGGTGGAATTTCAACGACCAGTCATACATCCCATTTTTTCAGTACATATGAATATGTCACATAAATATGAACAGTCACAGAACAAATGGACATAAGCTGAGGACTATCTGTAGTAGTGACAGAATTGGAATATCTCACCCGTATTAAATATATTCCCAGCCTTCACAATCATAATGATCTCTTGGGCAGATATAATCAATGGGTTGCATTCAGATGGGAGCTCTGTAGATAGATGTTTCTTTGAATTTGCACCAGGATTCAGTGACGTTTCCCAGAAGAAAACATTATGATGCCCCCCCCCCCATTTTTCTACACAACTCCTAGCACCATTTTTTTCATACTATTCCAAAGGCCTTTAATTCTGAGAAAACCTCTCAAATAGCACAGTGGAAATAAGCAAAGATATTCTCTAAACCGTCCTCCTAATCTACATTTTAAACATACCCACTGTCTACAGTGCAAACCACGGGTTCCAAGAGTAGACCATAAAGGATTGAATAGTTTTCTTGATACATGACCCACCCCATGATAATTGCACTTTCAATCATATGATTTGTTCTCAGAATAAGTGAATAAACAAAGAAATTGAGAATTTAAAGAAATAGAAGGTAAATTTAATAATTGGACTTGCCCATCGTGAAGGGTCACTGATAAGGTTAATAAAAAGTGTTGATAATTTTGTTCGACGGACTTCCTGTGATGTGGCACATGAAACAGCCATAAAGCATTCAGCACAAGCCTTCCGCACACCCCACACATTATCTGAACAAAGCTGGAAAAATCTAGGTAACTGGAAAATATAAAATATGATATCAAATACAAATGATTTAATTTGGGTCTTCTTCCATTCCTTATGGACGTCAAAACATTTAAGAGAAACTTTCTAATGTAGGAACTGGCTAAGATTATAAAAGTATGGGCTGAAGCTTTATTTACTATTTCTGGAACTAGTCTACTTTACAGTCTTTAACAATGGCCAATATTACCTTTGGAAACTAAAATAGAATAATTCTACCTTTTCCCAAGTAGAATAATTTCAGAAGGAAATATTTTTTACAGTAACAAATCAGTGAAAGCAGGGATTATAGCATTCAAAAAAAGTAATCAAATAATTCAATAAAATTACATTTAGTACTATGTGCAATATGCAAAAAATGTGCCTGACCCTTAAAGAAATGAATATATATATATCCTCCCATATTTGGGCATACCAGGGGTTGTGACACTAAATACATACGTGTGTGTGTGTGTGTCTTATTCCAGGTATGAAATGCAATAATGCAATATCTATTGATAACAGACTGTATTCCTGAAGAAATGATTATCAAAAATTAATTCTATCTTATCCATTTTTATTCAAGCTCAAATAAAATTATTTAAATGCCCATATTGAAATTCAGCACAATTGTGCAATTAAAAATTAAATAAAGATAAAACTTTGACATATGAAACTCACCAGCATTTCTTCAGTAGCTTGCTGTCCGACTACACTACAAATATCTCCAAAATTGGCTGCACACACCTGGACAAAAATAAGTATTTTAATTAGAATTGGCAATGAATTAACCAAGGAAAATAATAGTTTAGGGATTCGAAGATAATTCACGAAAGCAGGACCACAGTTCAATTATTTTTAAAGTAGTACTTAGTACTTTTACTACTTAGTACTTTTAAATTAACACCAAGTAGGTTATTTGATGAAAAACTATCCGCTGCAGTTCTCATCTCTCTCTGGTGCTTCAGGAACTCCAATTTACCATTCATAGGTGATCTAAAAGTAAATCTTTTTCTACATTCTGCTAACTACTATATTCGGGATAATATTCCTCAGATTAAACTGAATAATTGATATTTTGCCTTCAACTACCATTCTTAGTGAAATATCTGATATTATTTTACTTTTGTCAGTAAATCAAGCATCATTTATGCATAAGAAATTTTTCTCAATTAGGTTATTTTTATGACCTTTCTAATTTTTCTCAGCTCTGAAACTAAAATTCTGGGAATAAATCTCCATAGAATACTATTCTCTATGGCAGGGGTGCCAAACTGGCAGCCCGTGGCCGAATGAGTTATGTGCAGGCCACAGCCACCCCAGCTGTGAAAGGGAAAAATGTCACAATACATCACATGATGGCGTCATCAAGTTTGAAACCCGTGCTTACCCTTTTTACTTGGGGACCAACTCCTCAAATTTCCCATGAGAAATAATATAATTCCTTATAGCAACACTATTTTAAATTTACTTGGCTTACAAATGCATTATATTTTTTTTTAGGTTAGAATGTAATTGAAATTCTTAACATGAATAGTTTATTATCAATTTTAGCCATTGCTTATCCACTGCAGGATGAAGGTCTCTTCCACTGGTTTCCAACCTATATGCCTACTCCTTTGGCTATGTATCATTTAATGTTCTCAATATTCTTTTTGCTATTATCTTGGTGAAAACCTTGTAGATGACTGAAAGAAGACTTACTAGGTGATAGTTTTATAAATTAGTGGAGCAACTTTAATCAGTGGAACAACTTACCTCCAGAAGTTCTGAATGCTCCAACACTGGAAGTTTTTAAGATGTTGGATAACCATT